GGCAGCCTGCAGCTGCATCCCAAGTACCTGGTACCACAGTATGCAAAAATAAATTGTAATCCTGTCCCGTCCTTTCCGTTCGTTTTGCGGAAAGTGCTGACTTTACGTATCATAAAACATTTAAACTGGCAGCAGGGTACGACAGTGGTCGCTCACACTGCGGCCCTTTCCAAGTTCTGTGCAAAGGAATTTGCTCACTTACAAATATTTATAGTCGGAATCCGTCGCTTTTTATGACACATTATTGCTCAATAAAACTCCGTCTGTCTTCAGTTTCTCGCCCTTGATCGTACAGACAAAGATACAGTTGCCGAAAAGTTCACAGTATGAAAAGTTCAGTTCTGTGTTGCGCTAGTGATTCATTTTATCATGATGCGTAAAGCAAAGCCATCTAAATCCTGTCATCTAAAGCAGATTGTACATGAATTTGGAGATCATATATATTTTAAACTGACGGTAACATTTTATACAGTAAGATGTGTGACACAAAAGTAGCGGCAGAAAAATATTCCACGGTACAACAAGCATATACGAGCAGTGCAAATGTCGAACAACAAGAAATCTGTGCAAATGTTACTGCAACAGTGTTCATCTGAAGGCGGAAATAAGTCATCGGATTGTTTCACAGATCTGTGTGATGCTCTGATGTCCGTAAATATTCCGTTTTTGGCTCTGAAAAATTAAAAACTGAAAAATTTTCTGTAAGTGAATTGTGGTCGTTCTATCACGGATGAATCCACTACCTTTCGAATATCCAGGAAATGATTAGGAATAAAGTGCATGGGAAGAAGATTTTCGTTTCTATTGATGAGACCAGCGATACGGAGGCTCACTGCGTGGCAATCATCATCATTGGAACATTGGAAATTGATGGACCAGGTGAAGTGTTTCTGCTTACGACTAAGATGCTAGAATCCGTTAATCATTCCACAGTTTGTGAACTCTTCGAGAGGTCGATGTTTCTACTGTGATCAGAGGGTATACGGCACGATGACGTCTTGCTTTTTGTGACCGATGCGGCCCCATATATTTTAAATGCAGGCGAAGTCAATAAAATCGTTTTATGCAAAATTTGTGCACTTTACTTGCCTAGTACATGCACTGCATAGAGTGACAGAGGAAGTGAGATCAAGATTTCCTCAAGTGGATGCTCTCGTGTCGAGGACGAAGATTTTCGTCAATGCTCCAGCTCGAAAAATGCAGTTTAAGTTTGTGGCTCCTGGTGTTCCACTGCCCCCGGAACCCGTCATCACAAGTTGGGGAACGTGGACTGATGCTGCAGTTACTATTGCGATCATTTTCAGGTAGTGAAGAACACTGTAGATTCAGTGAAGACGGAGGATGCGAGGGCAATTGAAGCTGCTCAGGAACAGTTCTCGTGCAGCGAAATGGAAGGACAGCTGGCTTCCATAAGGGCAAATTGCAGTTCCTTGGCGGAAGGAATCAAATGCAACACCAGAAGATTCGCTCGCTCTGGTGAAGAAAATAGCCAATGATTCGGAGAAAATGCCAAGGGACATTGGTAAAATGGTGTCATTAAAAATGAAACATGTTCTAGATAAAAACTCAGGTTATGAAACATTATGCAGCATTTCTCGAACTCTGACAGGAGAATCCTCAAGCACTTTCAGTACTGAAGAACTTACTGCTAGTGATTTGGTGCACTTCAAGTGCGCTCCCACTGTGTCTGCAGAGGCGGAAAGGAGTTTCTCCAAGCACAAGAATGTGCTGTCGGACAATAGGCGCTCTCTTACCTTCGAGAATCTGCGCATGTTGGCTGTTATCTATTGCAACTCTGAATGAGGTGGCACTTAAATATTGGTATACATACCGTGTATGTACATTTGATAAGCCTTCCAACATGGGAGAGAAAATTGTATTAAAACATTTAGCTTCAAATAAAAATTAAAAATACATTTTAAAACAATCAGTAGATTTTCCATGACACGATACGTTTTAGTTCGTTTTTGAACTTTTAGATATGTTTTTTTTTATTTTTCGGTCATTTTATAGGTAATTTTTCTGAAATTTTTCGGTAATTTTTAAAATATTTTAGGTCATCAAAATCCGGGCCCTGGTGATGAGCTTATAGCCGGCTAGTTAACGTCAACAAAGGGGCAAGCTTAGTCTCACATGGAAACGTGCAATTCAGAGTGATCTGCAAGAAATGATGTAGAATACAGTAGACCTGACGAAAGAAATACAAAATCACGTTAATGATATGTTTCTTGAAGCACCTGAGAAATTATATGACGGCACAGTGATTAAACGGGACAAGAAATGACACCCATATTCAGTTTGTAGGTGTGTGTATATTGCTTCCGCGCTTGCGCACAAACCAATTCACTTCTCTCTCGCTTCCTTCTTCATGCCTTAGATGAGTGCAATATCCGCATCAATCAGTTATGTTGGACAGGTCTACCTACACATTTTCACACAATTTGCCGAGCAGAACGCTGTAGCGGTAACGCAGAGAACTTGTAATCGGAGAGTACTCGCTTCGAATCTAGACCGGGACATCGGCTATACTGGCTGGCGCTTTTCGTGGTTTTCCTCATTCCCTTCAGGAATATTCCGGGGTAGAACCTCGATTAGGTCACGGCCGCTTCCTTCCCGATCCTATCTAATTTATTATTCACTGATGATTCTGCTATTCATCGCTGTAAGCTCTGAAATGCCGACAGCGACATGAAGTGAACCACAGAAGAAACACCCGAGATGTAACATGACATCACACCGCTTAAGCAGTGAGACAGAAAACTCATATCCTAAAGTAACGTCAATTTTTTGGCCTAAGTGTTTTGTTTTCGTGACTGCCTCCAAGTGTTTTTGCTTGTTTCTTGCCTATTTGTTTAGAAGCTAAGAGGTGATATATCCCTGTACTTAAATAAAATATATTCGATAGGCCTATCTTGACATTTTAATAAGATTCGTTTATGCTGTTCAGTAAACACTGAACTCTCGCCCTACTCTCACGCCTTCCCAGTCATTTACCTTTTTGTTTTTCGACCGCCTCTGTGGTCTAGTGGTCAGAGTTCCTGGCTAAATATCCAGAGGTCCCTAGTTCGGTTCCCGGCCCTACCAGGTGTTCTGAGAAGTAGTGGTCTTGAACGGGGTCCACTCAGCCTCGTGAGGATAATTTAGGAGCTGTTTCAAGGAAATAGCGGTCCGGTCTAGAAACCCGAGATTAACGGCCGTGAGGATTCGTTTGGCTGACAGCGCCACACCCTCTATCAGCAAAAGTTGGCACTAACTTCTCCGACAAGAGGCGGTCGCTCGGTCGGTATAGTTCGCTTGCAGACTAAAATCACGGATTTTTTTTCTTTACAATTCTTCTAGTCATCACTTGGGGTGTTTGCATAACTGAAACACACAGTAGGGCCCGATATCTTAGCAAATGATCTGTTTCATGTTTCATACAGGAATGGTTAAATTGCTTACTGGGACCCAGTACGCCTGTTACTTGTTATGATCTTTCTCACTTCTTATTGGCTCATGCCTAAGAGTCACTATTTGTTTTTTACCCCTTAATACTATTCGTTTCCATTAGATATACATTATAATTTTGTTCGTCCCATCGTTTGCATTTCCCGTTTCGAACCCGTGAACGTGAGTACGTTAGAAATATGAAAAACGTATTCTGATGTTTCTGTTTTGAAAATGTTTGTTCTGGTAGGTCTAAACGGAATTAATGGAGTCTAGGCTCACGATGCTGTCAGTAGTTCAGACGACTGAGGAAACAGGCCAGTTCGGTTAGTAGAAGTTTTCGGGTATCAGGAGTTTATCATAGGTACCAGTGAAAACGGTAAAGAATACAAAGATACGCACATCATGTGACAGCAACAAAAGACAAGACTACATATACGAGTATAAGGTAAATATTCACAACAATCACCAGTAGTTACTTTCACCGTAAACTGTACTTGGTTCCAACTGCAGCGCCATCTTTGCCCCGCCTGAGCTGACCACGGCGGAAGCCGGTGCTTACTTAAACACATCCGTAAGGCCTTCTTGTCTCATATGCATTTTACGGAAAACGGAAGTGTCCATTGGTACGTGGTGCTCCACTTTATGTAGAGTCGAATGATAGGATGATTGGTGAATAAAAAATTGATTATGATTTGGTAGGAGTCGGTCTTGGACGAAGTGGTACTATCTCTGAATTTGTTTGGAGGGACTGAGGAAATCCACGGAGAACTTCAGTCACAATAGCCGATGTTCTGCTCTAATTTTTAACCGGCCGCCTTTCGAATAGAAGTTTGGAATGTTACCGCTACATTAACTTGCTCGGTACCCATTCAGCATAAATTCATCATCATCATATCACTTCATGATATTGCCCCACGTGGTGGAATTTATTTATAAAACAAGCCTCGTCGGAATTCTGCTTCGGTAATGTGCCCCATAGCGACATCACTCAAAACAGTTAAATGCTCCAACAATGGCTTCTTATCAAAGATACAGTATTATTACAACGGTAACGCATTATTCGAGAAGCATTCTCAAGATATCAAGATATCGGATCCCCTGAAGGAGATGTTCATGTTGTTCCTCATTGCCTCCTGGATAGCCTTCCGAAAACTACCCTAGTATTCAAAGGACCCATAGTTCGGTCCAAACTCTCACCACTTAGCTTCAAATAAGAAGAATAATATAAATAATTATTCAATTCGTGTTTATTTACGTGCAAACTTAACAGCACAGAGGACAATTACAAAGTTAATAATAATAATAATAATAATAATAATAATATCTGTCAGTATAGACACAAGACGGAGTCACCTACCAATATTAATACCATATAACCCAGACAATAGACAATGTCCAACATAGCAGTGGTATAATCATTAACAACTAATAAGAAAATGCCTCTCAGGTGAAGAGCGTTAGAAAATATGAGATGGCATACCACCTACAAGCCGTAGCTGTGCGCAGGTTATATTTAGTATCCCGCCAATGCAGGAGGTTAGCTTTGGAGGCTTCAGTTGAGACTGCGGTCACATTCTCAACGCGCTCGCAATGCCCGTCCCGGCAGCAAATGGCTGCTGCCTTGATAGCCAGCAGGAGGAAGATCAGCATACCCTGAAGAATTCGACCTATCCCGAGTATCTGTGGCAGGGCAACCTTCAGGGCTTGAGGAGCTCCTGGGCTGCTAGAGATTGCCTCATCTCGGAATTCCTACTCTACCTTACAGACTATCAAGGTGAGAGGACACTGCTCGAGCATCTTCAGCTGCATGATCGCCTAGTACCAGGCAGATGAGTTCAGCTGGCACCGTGAATGGCCATACACATATACTGTAAAGTACCATTGTATTCTTTACCTTATTTTCTTGTAATAATATTAGTGCTTCGGGTTATTTTGAATTGTGAAGTGTGAAAGGGGTTGTCGTCATAACTTGTTTTGAGTTGTCACATCAACTTACGGGTCGTTATAGACAAAACTTCGTGCATTCGATTGAAATAAGAATCGCCATCTCCCCGAATGTTAGGCACATGACGTCGAAACAGTCACGGTGATTGCACTAAAATAACTTGGCATTTCTGTATACAGAAAGTGATTTCTTATAGAAGTGAAATTAAGTTTATGTCTAATTGTAACAGTGATCCCTTGTTAGTTGTTAGCCCTCATAACCTGCTTAGATTCTTTCTCTAATGAAGTGATTTGAATGCTTTGTCCGTCCTGAGATGGGTGTAGCGGTGCCGATGAATTGCATATCGAAATATCTTCATAAGTTGTCAGTGACTGTCAAGGAGCCTAAGAGCTTGAGAAATATATTAGATAAAATAATTGTAAGAATTTCCTCATTACATCGTAATATACTAGTACAAGTGACAATCGGGGGTGCATCCAAACATTGTGACATCAACAAAGTTAATTTAGTGCGGTTTAACCCAGTTGAAAACTTCTGAACTGAACTCAGAAAAACAGCTCAGGATTTCGTTGTTTGATTATATTTTGACAGATATCCTATACCTAAGTGTATATGTTGCGATAATTTTAAAATTTGTGACATGTCAACGCAGTGCCACGCAACAGCCCGATAAACATTCCGCCATACGCGCACGCAACAATAGGACGAATGTTTATAGCTCGTTACTAGGCAACAGTCAGCTCGGGAATGAACTGGCGAGATAGGTATCTCTTGACTTGTTTTTAATGTGATCCGCGCCATTCCCAGTGCTAAGCAGCAGTACTGCAAACACGTCTACAGTAATAGATGTTTTCTACGGGATCCGTGACGAAGGTTTTATGGGACAGTGAAGATCGTATGCAGCCAGTCGTAGTTGAGAAGCCGTGAGTCAAGGACACGAAGCCGTCACGGAAAGAGAGTCCAGGAGGTTTCAGCAGTGTAGAGCACAAGAATGAGAATGGAGCGTGTCCTTAGTTATTTGTGAAGATTAGTTGACTACAGATCAGGACGGAGGAGTATGAAGTGATTGAAGATGAAATAACAAGAAGACTTCATAGTGATTTTAAGCGCTAGTTTCTGTGTTGAAATCCGTTGCCAGGAGACGACCATTGAAGACGGAGAATCCTAGTGCGTGTGTAACGGTAAACTGTAAATGTGTACCTCAGCGATTAATCGGAATTAAGAGCGAGAGTGTAACCGAAGTGCTGATACGTCCAGTAATCCGAACTCGAACCCGTTACTTTCGTCACGCTACCGCCATACACGAGACATTTATGTTGGAGAACTGGAATGAGAAGACGTGGATTAAACTGACTCAGAATAGGATAAAGTGTTATATATTATTTATCGATGCAGGGTGGACTGCACTGGTATTCTGTTTAGCTATGATTGTTATGAAAGAATAATTATATTCCATCAAACTTAAAAATATTGCGATGGAAAAGGTAATGGCCAATTTGAAGGTTTCAGGACACGTAAACCTAAAATTAGTTAACTGCAAAAATAAATCTGTTAAGGGCATCGATAATGGAAGTAAACGATAGTGGAGAATTGCTGAAAAAATGATATAGCACAAACCTCAAATTTTCTTGAATATGCTAATGAAGAATATTTTCTTTGACGTCGGTTCGACCCGTACTGATTCACGAAATCAGTGGGGTTTTTTTCCAAAATAAATTAAAATATGCTGTTTTCAATATGGCTTCTCTTCTATATAATGTATGAACACATTGATCAAAGCACAACTTTCAGACACAATGTGTACTAAAATCTGGCTAAGTAGAGTTTGGTTATTTTCCATATCCCTTTAAGGCACAAATGTAAGCAGGAACAGAATGTGGGAATTGTATAATTAATCAACTATATAATTTTAACTATTTGGGTTATGATTCTCTTGCAAGGAATATAAAGATGTAGAGAACAAAGTTTGATGTTTCTGTGGAAGTTTAACGTGGACATTGCATACTACGTTACGAAAGAAAACTGCTCTGAACTTGTAGAACGTAATGAGAACTGCATTGTTGCCGTGTACGTAGTACCGAAAACTGGATGTTGAATGGAAAGCAGTGAAGAGAAACTCGAGGAGCTAAAATCCGCGGCGCCTGCGAACAGCGGCGAGGTACAGACCACTTGAGAGAAATAATTACATCGGAACTATAAGTGAACAACATGTACAGTACAGAAACAGCAGTTGCAAGGATCAGATGACGAGATTGTAAGGTACACGGCTGTTAAAGTGGTGGGGGAATATCAACTAAGAGTACATGAGTTATCGGACGACTTCAAGGGAGACGGAAGGACCATTTTCGAATGGAGGAGGAAGAGACAGTTGAAGTATGCGCTGTGAAGCTAGTGATGGTGAGCAAAACATGTACCTTATGAGTATGAAGCATTTCATAGTAAAAATATTTGTTTATCGGAATCAGCTTCGTGTGTTACATAATAAAGAATCTTCTTTATCTGTCGCGAGGTTTAATTAGTTGCGTCCGACGAGAATTTCTTACGCTATTCTGAGGTAGTCTAAGTTATGATGTTACCCATTTGGAAATACCGCTGCTTTTTATATAACAGTGTCTCATTCCGAGAAGCCATCCATTACTGTTGTTTTTACTGCTGCCAACATTTCAACATCAGGCAGCGTGAAGACGTCGTGACCGCAGTTGTCACCATGTTGTCGTCACTGGCTTGCTACAGATGATCAAGATTTCGGCTTTCTAGCTGATAAATATGTTGAGACAGCAACCTGACTGGCCAAGATCTGTGTACTGACAAGAAAGCGCTTTACGCCCTATATGGGAAAATAGTGTTACAATGAATCTTTAAATAACAATATGAGGGTGAGACACGATGAATGTGTTCATGAATCCTTTCAGTTCTCAAAGACGTGGGGAATTTTGTCACCAGCTGGGCGACCGTTACCTTGTCAAGGACCCTTTCACATCTGGTTAAATGCTGTTTGGTTGACATAGCACTCTTCCATGTTCTGAATCGAATTGTCAGGAACGATTTTGTGACTACTTCACTTTACTAGTGTTGAATGTACAACTTAATTTAGCAAATGGCCAAGGTATAATTTTTGTGTGGCGTTCTAACTAAATCAAACAAACATCAACATCAAACAACGGAGTCAAGATGAGAGTGAGCTTGCATGAAACATCCGGAAAGTTTAATAGTAGCTTGTATAATATACTAAGAATATGAACATGAAATATCTTGTCATACTGAAATTCTATTTACAGTTACGGCTGATCCACTCATTTTTAATCAAAATTGAAATCCAATTAAAGAATTTCGGCTTTTAGAGAACATCTTGTTTTCAGTAAATTGTAGAGAATCTTACATCACTGTAGCTACGCGGTAGCGTAGTTGGTTGAGGCAGTGTGCTACAAACCGGAAGCTCACGGGCTCTGTTCCCGATGAGGTGGAATTTTTCGATTGACCTAATCCTTCCAGCCGCACTATGGCCCTGGAGTCGACTCAGCCTCTAACAGAAATGAGTACCAGGAATCTTCCTGGGGGTTTAAGGCAGCCGGCGCCTAGGAGTGACAACCCTACCGCCGTGAACCGAATGTCTACAAGATGTGGGAGCCTCGACGTCTCAGACGCCTATGGGCCTTCACGGCCTGTTACAGGAGTAGCTTTACCTTACCCTTCAGCTAAACTTTACAGTATGGAATGGTAGCATCAATGATGAATTGCAATGAAATTGAATGGAAGTGGTGGTCTGACCGAGGTACCGGAGGGACTGATGGAATTGACGAGAAACCCGGGACAGGATAGGCGTTCCGGTCGCGGTTGCAACAGACCATGCCCTGGCTTTTAGTGTACAGCGTTACCACTACACTAGCCAGCTCGGTACAGTACCGCTGTTGAGTTTATCGAACGAGTTCATTCACGCAGCAACGCTTCTGACTTAACTCGGAATGTCTCAAGCTCTGATTTCGGCCACGACATCCGCTCAGCTAACTGAAATCTTTCGTATTTCACCTTAGGCTCTCCAGGGAATTTCCGGGGTGGTATCTGAAATGAGGCCACAATTGCGTGAATACATCCTATCCGACTCATTACTCACTGTCACCGAGACACTGACAGCGTCGGGGAAATAACAAAATATATTGAGTCTCTTCTCGGCTCAGAACCTCCTATCGCGTTAGAACTTGATTCTATAACTCAGCCGATGGATGCTGTTAGATTTAAATACCTGGTGGACATATGGGCTTGGGACTGAATTGGCAGGCGATCAACACCACTCCGCATTATGGGCAGCTGGTTCTGATTCCGTGAGAAACAGCACAGGTCCCGCTCCTCAGCTGTTCCGCGTGGGAGAGCTGATGTATTACTGAACTCTCACACTGATTTCCGTCATCATGGCTCTGAACACTCTTTTCACTTGTGTGCCAGCGACCCACTTTTGACCTGCAACACCCGTAACATCTACAGAAAGTTAAATTGCAATTAAAAGTATTGGCATGACAGTAAATAAAGAATTGACGAAGTGAAACTTGGCTGCTATCCCTGTAACAGGCCGTGAAGGCCCACAGGGTTGTTAAACGTTGAGGGTCAAACATTATCTAGACAATCGGCTCACAGATTGCGGTAAGGTTGTCAGCCTTACGCGCCGGTCGTCCTTTACCGCCCAGGAAGATTCCAGGTGCTCATTTCTCTTAGAGGCTGAGTCGACACCAGAGTCATAGTGCAGATCCAATGACCTCATCGGGAATCGTACCCGCGACCTTCCGGCTTGTAGGATACTTCCTCAACCAACTACGCTACCGCGTGCCTCCAGTGAA